GTCGGTTTTGCCGGTCGAAACGCATCAAATCAGAGACGTTTGGCTTCGTTTACGACTGCGCCATCAATGCTGGTGGTGCAGATTTGGAATAAGCACGTGCATCCTTTGGTCCTCCAGCAACGTATCGGTGGGATGCTTTGTTGATACCGCTGTAAATGGCTACATTTACTGTTATTTTTTCACAGGCAAAAAAAGCTTATGGAATCGGGCGCCCAAGTCAAAATGTACCTGCGGGTAACAATACATTAAATATCACCCGGCAAAGCTTGTGCCACTACGCATAAACATATTTATACAATTGTGCATGATATGACCAACAGGTTAAGATAATATACACTAAGCTGAAAAGAGACTACGACATTGCGGTTTCCGTTGGCATGGAGCATCAAACGTCCACGCACGTTGGGAAGGCGAAGGATGCTAGAACCACTTTGATATTTTTCAGTCAACGCACAAATGGTCAACGCAAGATTTTTGAAACTAGTGGGTATCAGCCCCTGCCCTATCCCTGGTTCACACGTCCCCTGCTTTTTGGTGGCGCAACTCACGACGCATGAGAAATTTGCATTGCCATGACCACTTACCAAAACACTAGCTGTTAAACTCATTATTTCTCGTTAATTTCTATTTATTTAGGTGCCGTGACAGTTTTACGACTTCGTCCCTTATCAAAAATTGTGGTCCCGCCCCTGGGGGACGGGGCGGGGGCCTAAACCCTCAACTGAAAAGGAAACTATGCTCTTGGATGGAGGTGATTTGTATGGGTGCACTCTCACGGCAAGTATTAACTGCAGAGCGAGAAAAACCCACAAAACAATGAGGTGTTTGAATTATGAGAATGGCAAGGTTTCTGATACACAGTCAGATCGCAGAACATTTTATTTTTGGTTGGTCCTTACTGGCGGTGAAAACTTGACCGCGTTCTATCTGTCGTCAGCACGTTTGTCAGCACCAATCACGGCCCAGTATTCTCCCTACGTCACGTCACGCAACCACAGTCGCGTGGCTTGAACGTCACGCGCCGGCTGACGATGATGCCAGGATTTTTTGTTATCCCATCAGCATAGGGAGAAAGCACTATCAGATTAACAGATCACTCCGGCTTAAGCGAGTTTTATTTGGTAGCTCTTGCGTTAGCGAGTACATAAGGTGGGCTGGGGCACTTGTTTCTAATGTGGGGGGAAATGCGACGTAAGAAAGATGAGGAAGGAACTGAAATGCCAAGAGTAGCAATGGAAGGGTAAGTGGCGGTGATTGGTGCGGTGTGTGGTTGCGTTGACCGCTAAATTAATAGCGTTTTAAGTAAATGGTTAAAATGGGGGGGGGGGGGAAGGCATTGAAATGGATTTCAAATGGGAAGAAGCACTCATCATTCAGAGGGGTGGTAATTACGGAGCAGAAGCCACTTTTCAAACATCACTTTGGATGTAGTGTGTCATGGTCGGCGACAAGCCAGAGTTAAAGTGTGGACTGCAGTAAAAGGTAAAAGAAGAAAGGAAAGTGAAGTTAAAAAACTTTCCTGCCAGCCCACACATTGAACGCTCCGTCAGCACGCATGACGTCACGCAATCCAGCCAGGGGCGGATCCAGAGGGGGCCACGGGGTCATGGCTTCCCTTGGGCTCCGAAGGGGTCCATCGGCTCAGAGGGGACCCGTAACCAGCTGAACAGACGCAGGTTTTTCACAGAACGCAGAATATTGGACGTGACTAGTAACAGGTGACTTCGGGCTTCTAGGTGACCAGTAACAGCTGCAAGCGAAAGTGGAGGAGCCAAGAGGAGACAAAAACTATTCTTCACTGATTGAGAGGGTGGTGATTGAGAGGCCTTGAGGCTGCTCATGCTGTTCAGAGACCCTACGCTGCTTCCTATATGTCCACTTGCGGGGTCAACCTAATCGTTAAGGGGCCCAGCCTGTTGTTGGGGCCCTTCCTGCTAGCGTGCCGGGGCACTCTTTGTCAATCAGGGACCTTCCGCGGATTTTTTTCCATTCGCCCGAAACGCTCTATACGCTTGAGTCGGGGGGGGGGGGGAGGGGGAGGAGGCATATGTTGATACGCCGGGGTGTTCTTGTTTGCCCAGGGGTCCTTCACGCTGGTCACGGTTAACCTACCGGCATAAGCACGATACGCTCATGTGCCATTGATTTATGGCCTTTTCAATTTCCTATCACTTGCGTAGGGCCCTACGCTCTTGTCTGGGGCCCACCCGTTGACCTACTCGGGCTCACTCGGTCGTTCGGGGCCGTCCAAATTGGGTCTTGGCAACTTCCCACTTACATGGAAGGCCCCATGAACTTGTCGGGGTTCCTCTCTCTCACCCTGCTTGGGTACACTCGATTGATCGGGGGCCTTGCACATTGGGTTTTGGTATTTCAATGTAGGCCCTACGCCCGTGTCGGGACCGGTTGATGGCCTGCTGAGGTACACTCGATCTTGTGGGAGCTCTCCACACTAGGTTTGGGATACTTCTTATTTAAATGGAGGGCCCTACGCTCTTGTCGGGACCCCATTTCATAACGTGCTCGGGCGCACTCGATCGTTCGGGGCCCACGTAATTGGGTCTTGCGTACTTTCTATATGAATGGAGGGTCCTACGCCCTTGTCGGGAGCCCCATCTGTTAACCTGCTCTGGCCCATTCGATCGTTTAGTAGCCTTCCACATTGTGTCATGGGTATTTCTTATTTGAATGGAGGGCCCTATGCTCTTGTCGGGGCTCCCCTCTGTTACCCTGCTCGGGCACACTCGATCGTTCGGGGACCTTTCACGTTGCGTATCGGGTGTTTTCTTTTTTAATGAAGGGCGCTACGTATTTGTCGGGGCCATCTGTTCGCCTCCATGGGCATTGGACACACCAGATTCTTCGAGGGCCCTGCACATTGGGTCTCCGAATTTGAATATAGCGCCTCATGCCCCTGTCAGGGGCCATCTGAGAACCTGCACGAATACACGATCTTTCGGGGACACTCCACACCGGGTCTTGGGTACTTCTGATTTAAATGCAGGGCCCTTTGCTCTTGTCGGGTCCCCTTTTGACAACCTGCTCTGGCACACTTGATCGTTCGGTGTCATCTACATTGGGTCTCGAGTACTTTTTTTGAATGAAGGGTCTCACGATCTTGTCGCGGGCCCTCTCTTTTACCCTGCTCGGGTACAATCGATCGTTTGGGGCCCTCCACATTGTGTCGAAGGTATTTATCATTTGAATGGAGCGTCCTACGCTCTTGTCAGCCCCCCCCCCCCCCCCCACTTATCTGTTAACCTGCTCGGACACACTCAATCATCCCAGGGCACTCCACATTGAGAGGACACTGAACTGTGCTCGCCCTTGTGCCCCTTGGGGACCAATAGGATCTGAAAGGGCCCATGACCAGGCGAACGGACGTAACTTTCAAATACAAAACACAACAACGCCTTTGAGCCTCCAGACGACCAAGAACAGTCACAAGCGAAAATGAAGCCCATGAGCAGACAAACCCATTACGCTGTCCAAAGGCGTTACGTTGTTGTCGATGCTCTACATGTCTACTTGGCGAATCACTCCTGTCGCTAAGGAGCCTTCCACGTAGCCTTTGATCTCTGTGCATTTTTTTCGTGGGCCCTTACGCCGCTGTTGGGCACTATCTGCTCACATGCCTGGACACTCTTGATCGATCAGGGGCCCTGCACGCGTTCTTCCCATTTGCCCGAGAAGCTCCATACGCTTTTGTTGCGACTCCGTATGCCGGGGTACACTCAGTTAGTCATGAGCCCCTCCACGATCGATCAGGGACCCTCCATACATTCTTCCCAATTGCCGGAAGGGCTCCACACTTTTGTTGGGGCGCCATATGCCGGGGTGTACTCAGTTACTCAGGAGCCCTTCGTATTGGTCTCGGATTCTTTCCACTTGCTTGTGGTCCTGTCCGTTCATCTCCTTGGGCGCTCTTGATCGCACATGGTATTCACGCACGCACGCTGGTCTTGGGCGCGCACGCGCACACTGGTCCCTTTGCTTAAAGGGCTGTGTGTTCTCGCTGGGGTCCTATATGTCAGCCTACCGAGGCACTCCAGATCGTTCATGGGCCTATCACGTTGCTCTTGCGCTCTTCTCGCTTGCTTTGAAGACCCTCCATACCAGTCGACATAAGCCTCTTTGTTAGGGCCCCCGGCACCCATGATCGCTCAGGCTTCGTCGCTGTTGGTTTTGGTGCCTTAGCCTTAGAGCAGCAGTCGGATACGCACCGATGAGTTTGTACGCGCCATTGTCGAACATAATTTCACACGCCTCCGGCGTAGTCTGTGATATTTCAGCTGGTTATTGAATTTGTTGCCTAGTATACCAGTACATTACACTCTTATTATTTCATACAATACGTTCTAATGCTCGGATGTTTTGTACTCCTTCATAACAAATAAAGCAAACGCTTTGCACTAGTCATCAGCCAGCAGCTGATCACATCGACCAGCCGGCTGGCTATAAATATGTTTGGAATGAGGTTCGTGCTTGACTTTAATGGTATTTAGTAGCCAGCTAGCTTCTTGGCTAATCTTTTTCCGGTGACCTTAGCCCCAGAATGACAGGATCCACAACTATCTGAAGAAACCGAATAAGTTCCAAGTATGTGCATGCATGTGCATGCATGGCACGCCCTGTTTTCTTGGGATGCGCACAGTAAGGTGGGTTTCCATACAAAATAAAATATTAAGAATCTTAAAAATTGGTTGCCGAACTTCGAGGATTTTTGGGGGGTCCTAACCTCCATGGGGTCCCACAATGTTGGATCCCCCTTGACGTAATCTTGGATTGGTCCCTGATTCCAAATGACAAACGTGCTGACTACATATCAAACGGGGCCCTAAAAGGTAACATACTAAAAAAAAAAAATACTCACCAGCCTAAATCTGGTAGCAATAGATCCCACTGCTTATGGCGCACTCAATACATTTGTGGTTCATACTCAGCTGGAAACGATGTTGTAGGCCGTCTCGATTAGCGGTCGCTATATATCGCTATTGGTAATTTGACCGGTTGATATGGGGCGATTCGAGACGGTGAAAGATTTGCTATCATCTGAACGATTTTGAACTATAGAAGATCGTCAAGGAAAGGTTAGGAACACCATCAGCTTCTTCTTTTGATCCGCCGATATCTCGATCAGTTAAGGTCTGCACTGGACTGCACTGCAAGGACTGCACACAATGCATGTTACCGCAAACATGTCCGGCGTAGCAGGGGTGTCTCGGCGACAACTTCAGTGCATGAACGCCGTGAATCTAAGTGTTCAGAGTTCTGCGCGCGGTGACTACCGATTTTAGTGCATAGGAAGCCAATGTTTGGGAAAATTATGATGTTGCAAATCTACTTAGAAGTACAAACATTCAAAATTTGCCCATCCAAAAATGATTTGAAAATTCAGAAAAAAATTTGATGTGACCTGTGTTAGTTAACATGCGAGCTTGAGGTTCAGTGCACTAATGGGGCTAAGACTGGCATTAGGTGCATGGTTGGATTGTTTGCAATTGGCTTTTAGCATATGCCTTGATTTCAACTGCCTTCAGTAGTGTGGATTCAAGTCACTTTGGGCACATTTTATTTGCCCTTGACCAGGATGATTTGTATCCGCAGTTGGCAGGAGCTGTGCTCATGGCCAGGTGATGTAGCATGATAGACCATGCTAATTATTGCAGTGCATTTAGCTTTCACTACCAAATTATACCATTCATCCAGAATGTCATGTGCAGATTATAGGGGTCAAGATAGGAGATAACAAGGCAAACCTAAGTGTATATGCCTGTATAACTTAATCACTTGTTTTAAGCCACATCACATTCTTGGTTGCATTCAAGTCAATGCTGGCATGAAATGTGTACTCCATCAACCTGCAGTTGTTGAAATTGTGTAAAATACTATTTAGTTGAATTAATGATCATTCAGTTAAAATTGTTTTCTATGACTAGTTTTAAGCAGATCAGACTGGAACATGCACATGCTCAGCCTGGATGAAATCCACATGGGTTGCTAGTTGCTATATTTTGATGTAAGGTCCTGTATTTTACATGGTTGTGTTTTGACTTATCTAAGGACTTAGCCTCAAGACTGATTATGAGCAACCCAAACCCTGTAACCAGGGGTAATCCAGCATCCAGTTCTTGGGGCCCAAACAGTAATTTTTTGCAGCTGCTCATGACAAATTCCCCCAAATAATGTAGTACTTCCTATCTTAGGTAAGGGGAGAAGAGAATGCATGCTACTGCACATACACAGATGGAGGCATCCTGCTGACTCCTCTGCAATCATCTAGTACCTAGGACTCTAACTCTCTGGACTTGTGTATGGCTGAGGTTACCAAAATATGGCAGCACTTGGTGGTTCAATTAGTCATCCAACCCTAGGTTGTGATATTCAACCAGATATGCATTGAAAGATGTTATGCATGCCAAGTTTTGCACAGTTTTGCAGCTCTTTTCATTTACAGTAATGGGCTGTATATCATATTGTGGCAACATGTGGTGTGAATTTCAATTTTATATTGCAGTGTCTCCAAGTCCCCTCATTTGCAGCCAAAGATGAATATCCATGTGCAGGCTAACAATCTGTTGCCTGGAGGATACCCTCAACTTATCTACAGAGCTCAATATGAATGGATTCCTTTTTTGATTGATTTCCCATGTCATTTGTGAGTTTAATAATATGAATTATGACTTTAAATTTCCCCATTTCCTAAATACATTCATTTTCCAAAGTTGGAAGAACCTGCACCATGAAAGTTGATGTGTAATGCATGATAATTGAGCCTAGGAATGTCCTGTCTAGCATGTGAATGTAATTGACAAGTCAGACATTGTTCCACTTTTAAAAACGCCACGATTTATCAGTGCAAGTGACAATGGGAGGCCTTAGAATGATCAGGGAATATCCATTTACCTGATCCCTAGCTCCAGAATGTGTGCACCATAACATAGGTGCACAGAGGTCTGCACAAAGGGATCAAAAGGCATTGGGCATGACAAATCCACAGAAATTATGCTTGTAAGGAAGTATTCTGCTTTATACAGGGCTTTTAACTGAAATAACCATCTTAAAGACCCTTTGCTGCAATTCACAGCCCTGCCTTTCTCAACAGCTAAACCCCTTTAGTTTCTCAGCTATACGCCCGCGAAAGTGAAGAGACTATTTCGCGGGGACCATTTCAAGATCATCTTGGTATTGACATCATCATAACATCATTCAAATTTCGACATTCCATAAACCATGCGGTGATCAAGGTCGATAAAACTGTAATTGTTGAGTCGTTCATATCTGGCGTTCGTAAGCACGACTTTCGGACAAACCGTCCATCGATTGGGTATCAATCAATGTTGTACAATGTGTTGTTGTTATCAAACAATGGCGTAGCGAGGAGCATATTTGCTGAACAGAGAAATTGTTTATCTAGAGCAGTCTTTTTTACTTTAAGGTACACAAACAACTATTAATGAGCTGTTTCATCATATCTTAAGCTCGCTTCAATATCTTCAAATGTGAAACATTTCCTTTAGCCTATTCTGGGAGAACCGTCGCAGAGACACTGTTTACGTCACGATAACCTTTGCATTTGGTCGGTTATGCGTGCCACAGTTCCCACATAACACGAAACGTAAGGCAAGCAGCAAAGTAATGCTCGACGAGCACAGGTGGCCTGCTTCCGGAGAAATGGGCGTGCTGAAAACGTCCGTCACCACACCGTTTTTCTTTCAGGCTTTCCAAATACGCGCGACTCTTCAAAAGCCAACGACGCTAGGTGAGTGTTACGGTTCATTGCTCCTTCTTTGCCTGTCATGACTACATCACTAAATCGAGTGCGTGGACCTCTCGTACAGCACCATCGCTCAAAACACCGCTTGAAAGGGGCTGTCATCATCCCCATCTTCAAGGGCTGCTGATATTGACAGATCTGCTTTGCAACATTGCATTGTATTGCGCTGCATTTTATTGTGGTGGAATTGTGGTGAATTCAACCACCTAACAACCAATCCTTTGATTATGTCGGACTTTGAGACAGGATTTTTCGGTGGCGTCTCACTATGTGCAATGCGGAAAATGGCGGAAGCGGGGACGAAGCAAGGTTCCAAGACAAGACATTATTGCAAATTCCATTGGGAGATCCATTTACCATCGGTGTCGTCCGGCTAATATAGCGGAATGAACAGAACATTGAAACCGCATTGACCAAAACAGACTCATACATAAAATTACACGATATGCAACCGCACCCTTAAAGGCCACCGAGCATTGGCTGGCCGATCTAGCTATCCGGCCGTGAAAAAAAAAACATGCGTACGGATTCAGGCAGTGGTGTTGGGATGAGTCAACGCGCTCCTTTGAACATTCGCCCGCGATTACATGTATCAATAGGCAGTGAAGTGATTCCCTGAGTTGCGTTTTTTCTAATTACATTAGCTATAGAGCGCTATTAAAACACGTGAATGTAGCCCTTAATGTTATGGGAAAATCGCAAGAGTGAATGGGAAGACATCTTTAGGGTGGCAGTAATGTATGAAAAGAGATTGAAGCGTCCCACCGTTTGTTTTTAGAAAAAGTAATGTTTTGTATTATTTTTTATTCCCATTTTCCGAGATTTACTCATTTGGCAGAGTAGCAATATACTACTCATGCATCCATATGATTTATGCTCTGTCTGGGAAGTTTTTTTTAATTTCCAGGGCCTCGTATCGTAAACCTTGTGAACTTTACCAAGGTCCTCGAAATGCGTGCTCTTGCTTCGGCTCTTGAATAAATTCTTGAAATACAGTGCAATTTCAAATGGAAATAAATTGACGCAGTTCATTTTTATTGCGTTTGGTTCACTTGATCTTTATTAAACGTGAGACTGAGGACATTTGGCAAATGCCAAACTAGCAAGCATGATTGATGAAAATCGATGCATAGTTAATATGTCTTTATTCGCTAATAAAAGCGCACACGTGCAAGGCCGGGGTGAGGTTTAGAGTAATCTCCACAACAAGCAATCTAGACAATATGAAAGTTGTCCCTTTTAAAGATCTGAAATCTGGTTCATGGGTTCGCCTTAGTCACTAAAGACAGATGTGTGGTCTCTAGACCTTGAGCAGTGATCACCGAGTTATATGCCGGGAGTTTTCTATGGGGTGCGTCGTAAGCCCATGTTTGGGTGTCCATAACTTGCTGCCTAATGATCCGAGTCGATGCAACTTACAGATCGGTGGACTTGCCATGGTATTTGGTAACTTTTGGTAATTTCCCAATTTTCCTTTTTCGGCGTTTTGCTTCGCTATGCTTCGTGAGCTTTCTTGCCTGACCCAGCTTGCCGTCCGACATGTGCCGAATTGTGTTTTAATTCATGTTAAATGAAGTTATTGTGTACTGTGTACAAGAAAATGAAAATAGTTTTTTTGTGTATAAATGCTGTCCTTTGTTAGCTTGCCAACACACCTGGAGATACCGAGGCATGGCAAAGACATTCGATATGACATTCGATTGGATGGGGATTCTGAGCAAGAAACCAGCCAAGATGTTATTGATCCGAGGTAAAAAAACATATGCGGGAAAATTCGGAGAAATGTGTGATTTTTCTAATCTGCTGACGTTTTCACCATCTCAGTGCGATATACACAATGAAACCAAGTGATCACTTGATGATTGACCAATAGTTGAATGGAGCGTTGCTGACCACCTCATTAATGCTCTCCTTCTATACTCAATTCTAACCCCATCCCCTCTTCTGATCCTTCTGACCCCTGACATTGCCAGCCCCATTCTGCCGACGCTCCGTTCTGATACGTGAACTGCTTGGGCCTTAAAGTGGTGCTCGATTAGGACCATTCATTCACCGTCCCGGTGGCTCAGTTGGTTGGAGCGCATGCCTTCCGATCCACCCGCTCGTGGCGGGGTGGATACGCATCGCTATCTTTTCGCCGTTGTATTTACCTGATTATTTATTGTATGTTATTTATTACAATGCTATGCTATTTGCTATTCGCGCTCGCTACTTGACCTTGACCGGTATGGCCTGCGGCCGCTGGCAGCGGTCGCGCTAAAGTTCAGTTGACGCCAGAGGGCAGGACGGACCGTGTCGAGCGCTGCGGCACGTTAAACTTTCGCCGCTAAATTCTACCGTTGCCTGGAATTGCGCTATCGGATGGTAGGGGTCAGGGCTCACACAACAGGCACTGCTCAACGTGAGCTCTGATCCCAGAGATTCATTCCATCAAAGGGTTCGGATTAAACCTGAAGAAAATTATTTGCCGTCTCCATGATCAGAGACAATCGTCTGCGCTCACTGCAGTCTTTCGGCGTACGTCGGCCACTAAGAACCCGCTCTTTGTTACCAATCTTATCGCTGCCGTCGACTGGACACTAGCGAGGTTGACAGCGACTTTGGGATCTTGTACAGCATTGAGTTCGCACGGGCAGATGTGCACTGAAGGGCGCTATAAAGAGCTGAGAGGTCCGCCTCAGGCACTGAGCTGGCAAACAGTGGAGCTAAACAAGCATCACCAGCGTGACCAGGCGACGCCCGCCACGGCCTGGAGGCCTGGGGAGGCTAGACAGTCCGGAGGTTTTGTGAAACTCTATTTGTGGTCCACATTAGGATGCATGGCAGTGCTCCGTGCACCTGTATGTCGTGTGCTGGCGGGAGGGAAGGGGGAAGCGAGCGTGCTGTGTCATCACACTGCGATACCGCTGATAGATAGAGAGAGAGATACCGCTGAGTGGGCAGCCAACACAGGGGCGTTTGGCAGGACCGACAGGCCGTGGCCGAGTGATCCAGCAGGACCGCCAGGGAGTGATCGGGTTATCCAGCAGGACCGCCAGGCCGTGATCGGGTGATCCAGCAGGACCGCAGGCCGTGGCCAAGTGATCTAGCAGGACCGCCAGACCGTGATCGGGTGATCCAGCAGGACCGCCAGGCCGTGATCTAGTGATCCAGCAGGACCGCCAGGCCGTGGTCGAGTGATCCAGCAGGTCCGCCAGGTCGTGGCCGAGTGATCCAGCAGGACCGCCAGGCCGTGATCAAGTGATACAGCAGGGCCGCCAGGCCGTGATCAAGTGATCCAGCAGGGCCGCCATACCGTGGCCGAATGATCCAGCAGGACCGCTAGGCCGTGGCCGAGTGATTCAGCACGACCGCCAGGCCGTGATCGAGTGATCCAGCAGGACCGCAGGCCGTGATCGAGTGATCCAGCAGGACCTCCAGGCCGTGATCGAGTGATCCAGCAGGACCGCCAGGCCGTGATCGAGTGGTCAGGCGAGGTTGCCGGCGCGGGGAGATTGCATGCCGTCATGATTACCCGCCCCCGCCAGACGCACCTGTATGGAGCGTGCCTCACGGGCAGTCGATAGCATGCGCAGCGCCTGAACGCTTCATACGCGCAGCTCGTAAAAAGAACAAGGCATAGTTAGAATTGGGTCTTTACGTTTCACGATGAAAGCAGGGCTATAAAAAAGCGGGTGAATGCCATTTAATACTGGACACAGCGCACTTGTTTATGCTCTCATATGCAGTTGCGTGATTCTGAGCTTCTATAACCTGCAGATGCTTTCGCCGAGGGTCATTTTTCTGCGACTTTTGCATTTTGTCACGCGCGCGGTTCGCTCGACTCACCCGATGCCTATCAGATGTATCGTGCCGTTTATCGCTGAGCGGCGACCTGCAATGGCCGCCTGTCACCGGTCAGTACCCACCGTGCCGGCGCCGCACTCGGGAATCCGGACTCGATGGAGGTGCCGTCGGGTCACGTGGCTGACGGCGCCGCGGTCCGCCCGGCGCCGACGCCATCAGCGCCCTCGGGCGTCCCTCGCGACCAGGCCAGTCGCGCCCAGGGGCGGCCACGCGCCGGTCAGCAAGTCGTGACCTGCGCGGCGGTGCGCTCGCTGGTCACGGTCTCAGGCCGTGGTAGTCTGCGGCGCCTTTCGTTCGACGCTGTGGGCGGTGGCGGTGAGACGCCTGGACTCGCTGAACGGGCCAGAAGGGTCCTCTTCGTGCTGGTGAATTGCTCATGCGTAGTATATTCTTTTGAAGTTAAGTATTCGAGTAGTTTTTGTTTTGATGGTCACCCGTTTCGGTTTGATGTCAATACGTATAAACGGTGGCTCTTCAACTCGATATGTTCAGGAATTTTAAGCGATTCATGGCCGCTTGGTCGTGCTGAAGGCGCTGCCTCTTAGATGTAGCGAATAGGGCATCCATTTTCTAACTGCTTGACCTCTTTTTTGCTGCTGATCAATGGTAAAACAGTGTCGTTCTGAAGCGGTGCCGGCGAACGCGGCTGGGATCGCGGCGGCCGTGATCAGCTAGCTGTTAACCCTAGCAGTGTCAGGCGGAAAGCACTGTTCGGCTTAAAGGCTGGCGATAGACGGCTGCTATGTTCTCTATCAGCACTGAAACAGTATCGTGAATCACAACCAGTTCTGTTTGCCATCAGCACTGGCAGCAATAGAGCGCAGGGTAGTGACAATTTCGGAAACTTGATCTGTTGGGTCAAAAGTGGCAGTCAAATAATAGCTTAGCTCGCCCATCGCTACAGTCGTCCAGTCAATTAAAAGCCACGTATGTCAAAATTCCAGAGAAACTCACATCCTACTAACAATATAAAAGCTGCCGTATCATCCACATAATGACAGCCGTGTGGTAGATAAAAGATGCCGTACTACGTATTATCTACCAAACGGTTACAGGCGTCTCAAAACTATGAAGACGTCGCGCACTGATCCATAGAGGCGACTTCTCGCAGGGGCTGGTTCAGTCGGTCCCGGCCGCAC